TCTTTAAATCCTATAATCTTCGTCTCTTCAAGATCCACGGTGACAGTAACTCCTTCAACCGGCCTCGTATAAGCATTCACTGTACCATCTAAATAGTAACACATGACTCTGACAATCCTTTTCTTCCTTCTTTCCTCTCCATACCAACCAACAGTAAAACCCCCACAGACAACCTCTTCAATCTTGAGCCCTCTCTTTCTAATGGACTCCAAAAACGGCGCGTATTTGAGCGGCAACGCATTGGCGGCTATCTGCTCTTCAAAAGTGAGCAAAGGGTAGCCATAACCATCATAAAGTTTATCCGAAACAATCTTGTTGACTGTTAAGTCCACAGTGATTTCGTGAGTGGTTTGGTTAATACGTGCAATGACAAAAGCTTGGCGAGGTGGGGTTTTGGCGGTTTGATCTTTTAGCCATGAAAGAACGGTGAGTTTGTTTGGGTCTTCTAGGCCTACGTAGTGAAAGGCTGTGGCGTGGCTCGGTATGGGGTAGGAGCTGTGGACTATGGCTCGTACTTTGGAGAATTCGGCTGGGGTTAGGGAGTCTAGTGGGTGTTGATGTTGGTGAGCAGGGATGATGATCGAGAGAGTAGAGAGGAGAAGGAGAATTAGACTGTTGGGGAGTAAAGCCATAGATCAGAATCGTGAAAAATACATTTGTAAAGTAGTTTTATAACGGAAGTTTGTACAAGAAAATAAATACACCAAAAAGTTGCTTGAAATTGCCACTAATGCCATTGTCCTCGACCGGTGTTAAAAAACAATGCTTTTTTTTTTTTATTTACGTGGGGTGTTCGGGCCAGTTTACACGCACCACGACTAATCCCCACGGTTCACTGAACATCCTGCAAGCCCAGTGAGCAGGTAAGGCATCGCGGGGGTGACAGACGTGCATGGTGAGATTCGAACCCAGGTGCGGATGAAGGGGACAAGCCCCTCCCACCGCTAGGCCAGAACCTCACTTGTTTTTTATTGGACTTGCTTGAAGACTTAAATTTCCATAAATTTTGATTTTTTTTATATGTATATATTTTTAATTGTTTTGATGTAAAATTTTTTTATTATTTTAATATATTTATAAATAAAAAAATATTTTTAAAAAATTGATAACTACTGTACCCTGGTAAAATATACTAACAGCTACAAAATGTTCATTGAACTCCCTCTACTAAGGATAGGGTAACTGTTTTAGTAATTCTGTAAATTACTTAATGTACCCACTAATAAATGGTAGATTCGTCAATATAGAACAATAATTCTCATAATTACGCAACATGTGTGCATTGAACTACATCTTTCAAACAAAAAAAGAGTTATTTTTCACACCATATTTTATATTTTAAAAATGAAACAGTTAAAGTATATATCAATTAAGAATTTTTTAGTGAAAAATAGACATAAAAACCTGTTTAAATTTTTTAAAAAAAAAACCCGATGAATTGAGTCAACAACATAACTATTAAGAATTTGACCCAGAAATAAAATCTGAAATAAACATACCAGTTTCATTCAAGATTATTCAAACACAATTGAAATCTGTACTCTCAAAACCTCCCCTCATTGTATAGGTAAGAGTAAACGATGGCAACGAATCTCAAAAACAAAACGCAACCAAACAAGATATGAACAAATTCATCGAAATGTCAGATTGCACAATCTCAGCCAAATTCTCTTTACTTGGATTAAAAAAATAAAGATATAGACTAAAAAAAATGGAATTTCTATAATTTTTAGCATATTATTTTTCAAAAAATAACACAGTTAAAAAATATTTAAAAAAATAATACAATTTAGAGAATCACAAATACCACATGTGATTCATGAGTCGCTGGTATTATACACTACTCTTTTAAATTGTAAGATAGCCCGACATAATTTGTAATAAGGAAAGGATAAAAGAAAGGGAAGAAAAGAAAGAGATTCTAAAAACAAGTTAAAACTTTGATGACAACATACACACACATATATATAAGATTTTGATAAAATAAATCTAATAATTTTAATAAAAATCACTATAATGAATAAAATTAACCACACAAAATATCTAAAAATATTAAAATTCACTTACCTTTAGGTGACTTTAATCACCATTAATAACTTTTTTATGTGGTTTGATTGTTTTGTTGATATATATATATATATATATATATATATATAACTCAGGTGTTTGGATTAATATATGTGTATCTTAATTAATTTTATAAATTTTAAAGTTAATTATTATATAAATCTCGAGTAATTATGAAAAAATTTAAATTCATAAGTATTAAGAAGTAAATTCAAGATTTAATTGATTGAATTATTCTTTAAAATTATTTATTGAGATACTTTGATGATATAAGTGTTGTTATTAGAGTTTTAATTTTAAGATATTTTTATTGTTTTTTTTTTATGAATTATAGCAAAAAAATAAATAAAAATAAAAACTTATTTGTATGTATATATATTAAGCATGCTAGAGTTTAGAAAGAAAAAAAACCTTAGATAAACGGACTCTGAATAGACAAGATTGGAAACCTCTCTCGCATCTGTCAGAGGTCTACATACTTACTGGTATATCAGTCCGATGTTGGCAATCAATGACGTTTTCGAGGATAGCAAAGTACACCTGATGTCCCATCGTTGGGCCCCCTTAATTTCAATTTTATCGGTAATTTATCATAGCTGACGCATATTTCACATCCCATCAAACTGATGTTGCCCCTTTTTAACATCACCTGATGTTACGTCCATGACGGCGTTACCCCCGTTGATTTTTCCGATGCCAATTATCTGCATCAATGATTGAATCCCCGATGATTTATCTCATATAACAAAGCGATCACATTGTTCCCATGGAAATGAGCACTCATCTAACGAAGCAATGGGGTGAAAGTTGCGCGCAAGCTAGTCTGCATGTCCTACATAAATTAAAAAAAAAAAGGGGTGAAATCTCCAGATCCATATAAAGGGTGTGTTGCTTTACCAAAAATGTTCCTCATGTAATTATATTGAAATGATATTTTCGCCTAGATAAATCAGGTTTTCATGGGTAGATTTTAAAAATACCCTTGATCTTAATTTTGCATCCAAGCTGTTCTTTATATTAATTTTACTATCAAATGTCTAGTCTCAGTTAAAGACTTCCGTTTATTTTAAAAGCTTTCCATCAAAATTGATATTTTTAAATAAGAAAAAACATCATTTTATACCAGATTTAATATTTTTTATCAGAATATAACAAGAGTTTTGTATTGAGAAATCAATAAATAATTTGTCAACAAAATTGATGTTATTTCAATAATTTAATATTATATTTGAGGTCTACCTAGTTCTTATTAATAATTTGGTGGAATGACGGTAAAAAGGATGGTTTAAATATTTACAAGATAATGAAAAATAGGAGTAAAAATAGTAATGGTAACGGTTTTATTGTTGATCATGATGATTATATATAGCAGGTGATAGTGATCACAGTTGAGCGGCGACGAGAGCAAGGTAGTCACGCATCGACAATTAAAATAATTATTTGATAAAATCAAGGATTTAGAATAAATTATTACTTTCATAAGGAAATATTTTTATATATTCAATAAAAAAAAATATTGCATGTTGTCTAATAAATCCAAATTTGACTGTCTAAAAAAATCTCAAACCAATAAAAATTAATATTCAAGTGACCAATATCACCAGGCTAGAAGCTTATCACCAGGCTAGAAATAAGCTTCACAAATCAACGAGTTGCCGTGATTTTCATCGAACCTCATCGCTTAAACTCCCAATCATTAATGTCGTCGTGATCGGCAACAGTTGCACCTTTCTCACCACCAGTCTTACCTCTGGCCTAAAGTCTTCTACTGCGCAAAACCTTCATTAGATACCTAGCAATTTTTAATTTATTTATTTGAAAACCTCATCTAAAATCCACGAACATCTACGCCTGGTATCGCTGTCTCTGTGTGCCGCCACATTATGTCTCCAGTATACCTCTCAAAGATGCAAACAGCTTTACGTATCTCCACAGGTGGGAATCCCATGCATATTGGCCAGCAAAGTGATGAGCGTCTATGAAAATTGCATTTCCTGGGCAGTTCCTAAGTGGCTCAAGCGGCGCTGCAGATTGACCAAACCCATAGTCACCAGCATCTAAATATTTTCTACAGTGCCATTCTTCCTTCATGGCACGAAGAGTTCCGATACAAATCCTTCATACAGAACTCGACGCAACTTTTGCTTTTCATGATCAATTATTGATGCTAAAGATGTTATTGGGCCTGCTCGAGCTTCGAAACTCAGATGAATATCTCCATTGGCCCACCTGATACAATGCGTCAAAACAATGGCAACTCATGAAACTGTGCGAAAACAGGAAAATGATAAGGGGCAGAAAATGACAGGGACAAGGCTCTCCTGCCCAGCTTAGTTGAAAGAGGACTAGGCCCTTTACGAAAAAACCCAATAAAGTACAAAGATTTTCTTTTTAAAGAAAATCTAAAATAGGAAGCTCTATACTAGAAAAAAATAATTAAAAAAAGCTAAATTTGCAAGAAGAATAAAAACATAAAAATAAAGGGATAAATCACAAAGCTAAAAGAATGCATAAGTGAAAAACACCGGGAAATATAAATTTGTATTCGAGAGCAGGTAAAAAAACTTCCATGAATGTATTTTATTATTTATAAAGACTATTAAATTTAATGTATAAGTAAAATTAAAGAAAAAAATTGATTAATTTGATTAAATTTAACTTTAAAGAAAATATTAAATTTAATGTATAACACAAAATTAGCTTTTCGCAAATAACAACATAAGAAAACAAAACTAAAGGCCTATAAATTAGTTTAAAGCCCAGACTAATTTTTTTAAAGAAAAAAAGATAAAAGGCCTATTAATGAACATTGATTAATATGGTCACAACAAGCAAACCCAAAGGCCCAAACGTAAAGGTTAAACTAAAAGAGAAGAGAGGGGGGAGACGCTCATCTGGCCCAAAAGCTTCTAGACCTTCCGGGAAAGTCTAGAACATGAGGGAGACACCTCACCACCTTTGCATGCCCTCTCATTTCATCACCAGAGGGACAGGACTCCCGTCCTTCTGGTCTCTTCTAAATTGTTCCTCCCTTACTTTTCTCCCCCTTTATTTATTAACTGCTTCCCTTTCCCTCTGTAGCCTCTACTACCAATATCAATAGCAACAAACCAGCGTTTCTCTTTTTCCTTGTGACATTCTTGCGCATACATTATTTTTCTATATAGAAAAACTAGTCAGGTTAGCATCTCTCCAACTCATTATCTTGTTTGTATTTGTTTTTCACTTTCCTGCAATCCATGTTTCTTATTTTTATTAGTTTCCTGAAACTGTCATCAAGTAACTAGTGAACGTATGTGCTCTATTAATTTTTGTTTTATTAAATTTAACATGCTGAATCGACCTATGTCCTAGAAGTAAATGGCCACCGGGTTTGGCTTGTTTTTTGTTTATCGTAGCAAATATGACTTCTCGTTAGAATTTATCTGCTCTTAAATCGGTTGGAAGTTTATGCTTTTTCTACAATGAATGTTCAACTATCAAGAGATATTGAAGTTTTTTTAAGTCATTTTATAGATGGGTTTTAGGTGTTTCATCGCTTCATGTCTATTTACTTAATTAAATGAAGAATGCCTTAGAGGTGTTTGTTGAAATACCAAATCCACGCGAACTGTATTTTATCTTTACATGTTTGAAAGCTTGAATTAATTTTTGCAGTTTCAAATTTGAATAGTTCATAAGAACCCACTTGCCAGGAAAGGCTCAATTGTTTTCGGGTTTGCAATTTTACCCTTCAAAAATCAATTGTGCCTTCGTTCTTGATGTCTCTTTAGATGCTAGTTAGTTATTTCCGTTGTTTGTGATTAATATACATTATTTTTATTTGGTGATAGAAATCTGTTATTGGAAATATATATGTATATATATATGCTACCAACTTTGCTTCATTTCGTACGGTATCGTTTTGTTCTACAATGAAAAGGTACATTGTCTGCACTGGCTGTAAAGCATACTCTTACCTTACTAAAGGTTCTCCAGCACGAAATGATTCATTTTAGAACTTTTTTCATGTCTGGTGAGATTGTTTTCTTTATTAATTTGGTTTCAGAGCCTAAATGCCCTCATTATATGTAACTTGAACTGGGATTAGTAGACAATGCTTTTCAAGATACCACCATCTTTTTCATATTGTTAAAATTGGTGGCAAAGATAATGATACTAACGTGAATGATCAAAAAGGGTGTCTGACTCACCTATCTTTCAGAAGAGAGACGAAAAACACAGGAATTCTTTGTGGATGTTTTTGTTGGATTTGATATCATCTTGATTTTGCACAGAAAAATTAAGTCACGGTTAAAGTTACAAGTTCAAAGTTAAGGCATTTTGCCTCGGCATCCTTGTCGTGCACGCTCGCGGGGGCATAGATATGCGTGTGTGCGCGGGAATCTGTTTCAAGTTTTTAGACAAGCAACTTCCTTACTTCTTCGTCAAAATACAGGAATGGAAGAACCAAAATACACTGTGGCATCTGATAGTGAAACCACTGGGGAGGAGAAATCTTCACCGGCTTTTGCAGAAATTGCAATTGGAATTGACATTGGGACTTCGCAGTGCAGTATTGCAGTCTGGAATGGCTCCCAGGTAGAGCTCCTAAAGAACACCAGAAACCAAAAGTTGATGCGATCATATGTTACCTTCAAGGAAGAAGTCCCTTCAGGTGGAGTCAGCAATCAGATATCCCATGAATATGAAATATTATCTGGAGTTGCAATTTTCAACATGAAACGACTGATAGGCAGAGTGGATACTGATCCTGTAGTTCATGCGAGCAAAAGGCTTCCATTTTTGGTTCAGACTTTGGATATTGGTGTTCGCCCATTTATTGCAGCTTTAGTGAACAATGCTTGGAGATCCACCACGCCTGAAGAAGTCCTTGCAATATTTCTGGTTGAACTTCGAGCCATGGCTGAACTTCAGTTGAAGAAGCCCATAAGAAATGTTGTTCTAACCATTCCAGTGTCATTTAGCAGGTTTCAATTGACACGGATTGAACGTGCTTGTGCCATGGCTGGCCTCCACATCCTCCGGTTGATGCCTGAGCCGACGGCTGTGGCATTGTTATATGCACAGCAACAGCAACAGACTGTGCATGAGAATATGGGAAGCGGAAGTGAGAAGAATGCCCTTATATTTAACATGGGTGCTGGTTATTGTGATGTAGCTGTTACTGCCACTGCTGGAGGAGTTTCACAGATTAAGGCTTTAGCAGGAGCTGCTATTGGAGGTGAAGACATGCTACAGAACATGATGCAGTATCTCTTGCCAAACTCAGAGAGCCTTTTCCTGAACCACAAAATCAACGAGATCAAATCGTTGGGGTTGCTTCGAGTAGCAACTGAAGATGCAATCCATCAGCTCTCCTCGCAGAGCAGTGTTCAGGTGGATGTTGACTTGGGAAATGGATCCAAAATATATAAGGTGGTCACTAGGGAGGAATTCGAGCAAGTGAACCTTGAGGTGTTTGAAAAGTGTGAGAGCCTCGTAAGACAGTGCTTGCGTGACTCAAAGGTAGACATAGAGGATTTGACTGATGTTATACTTGTAGGCGGATGTTCATATATCCCAAAGATAAGAAACGTTGTCAAGGCTGTGTGCAAAAGAGAGGAACTTTACAAAGCAATAAATCCATTGGAAGCTGCAGTCTGTGGGGCAGCACTAGAAGGAGCAGTTGCATCAGGAATCACCGACCCCTTTGGAAGTTTGGATCTGTTAACAATCCAAGCTACCCCCCTTGGCATTGGAATTAGAGCAGACGGGAACAGCTTTGTCCCAATCATACCTAGAAATACCACAATGCCAGCAAGGAAGGAGTTGTTATTCACAACCACCCATGATAACCAAACCGAAGCTCTAATCCTTGTCTATGAAGGTGAGGGGACAAAGGTGGAAGAGAATCATCTTCTGGGCTATTTCAAGATCGTGGGAATCCCAGCTGCACCCAAAGGAGTTCCAGAGATAAATGTGTGCATGGACATTGATGCCTCAAATACGCTCAGAGTTTTTGCAGGAGTGGTGATTCCAGGAACTGATCAGCCAATGGCACCGTTTATGGAAGTCAGGATGCCTACAGTTGATGATGGGCATGGCTGGTGTGCTGAAGCCCTGAACCGGTCATATGGGTCGACTCTTGATCTGGTTACCGTGCAGAAGAAGATGTGAAGGCGAGGGTGATATTCTAGATTGCATCAGTTTAGGAAGATAAAAGAGTGTCGAAATGAAAAGTTGTTTACGTTTTACAAGAATGTGAGCTTGCTGTAACGAATAAAATAATACATGTATAGAATTTGACTTTGATGTTATTTAGTTTCACTTCAATCTCTTATAACCATAAATGATTCAGGAACGTTATAGAGATAAAATCTAGCTGCGACATATCGACTCAACGAGTTTGGAAGGGAGACAGATTTGAAGTACAGTTAGAAGTTTCAGTTTGATCATTGTCACCTCGCAGCTTCAATTTTGTGGCTGGGTTCTGGAGGATTTAAATGTTCTGGGCTGTTTCTACATCGCCACTATGCTCTATGCTCTATGAGGGCATAACAGGGATATAAGTGGTCATGGCTGAGTTTTATACCCCAAAAATTGGACAAAGCACAAGAGACCAATACGAGTTGTTCTTATGGGCCTGGTCTCACAAAATTCAAATAATCAGTAAAAAAATAAAATTATTTGCCAGTGGATTGATCGGTAGTAGACCTTTAAATGGAGAGAAACCCCGATCACTAGAAAAGATAGGCAAGCGGAGCAATTCTCTTAATAATTAGAAGAGAGGCAAGAAGTTGGCGTCGAAGGAGCACGATTGTTGGCAGTTACAAGGCAGCATGGAGCATTACAGGGAACGTGGATCGTAAAGGATTATAGATACAAACCACAACGGCGAGGGCAAAACAGTCAAATTTTGTTCCATTTTGTTTAGGACACCTAAATTTGTTAGGCAATGGTTGTAGGCAGTAACATCATAGGCTGATAGTTAGGTTACTCTGTTCCATTTTGTAATTCAATGAGTGTCTGCACTCTCTTAAACAATCCTTTGATATTTAATAATTTTCGCATGAACATCATGGCTGGAGGAAGAGTTAAGGTTATAAGCAAAGAATTTTCAACAATAAACATAAGTTCCCTTGTTAGTATTATTAAAATTACAGTCTTATTCTCATTACTTGCCTGGTGTTTGATTCTGGAATTAGTAGTATAAATATATGTTTTAACTGCAACAAGGCCTAGAAAGTATAGATTAATCGTTTAAAGTGATCATTATTGTTCATAATTAGTCTTCTAACTGGCTGGATAGATTGCAGACTCCAACTTGGTTTGCATACTTTCAGTTCATTTAATTTCATTTATTATAAAAGAAAGGATCAAAAAGATCATTAGAGTAAATAATAGAGCACATTTAGGTGTTACCTCAATCCAAAACAAACAGAGTGAGCTACCGTGCGGACAATTATCCAAATTTTTTTATTTTTGTTATGAAGTCCTTGAGAATCCGAGGCAGGGAAAAAAACACTGAATTACAGATAGCTTTATTTATTTAATACAGTACAAAGAGAAATTAATCTTGAGAATCAGAGGTGCCCTCTCTTTATAATTATCTGGGTAGTTGATATGTCTTATCGTATGCAGTGCAATTCTCTACTCGAACTGGTGCCAAAATCATAACCTGCGGATGGCATCAAATCATGCGCAATACGAGGACTTGAGCGTCCCAAGCACATCTCATGAGGAGGAATGAAGAAATCATGATGGATTGCCGGTTAAAGTTTAATTGTTATTGGAAAGTGCATGTATATTACCCATCTTAATTTATTCTTGTACAAAACAGGTAGTGTTATGCTATCTAATCTGCTGTCGAATTAGCAAAGCCATGCTTATATATAGCAAATGTAATTCATTGCAGATAACTCCTCATTGATTGTTTTCTCATGAGAATTTGTCACATGCAGCAGCTCTTCACATTTGGCAATAAAATTATGATCATTTGAGAAGTGGCAAACATTCAATCATACGAAAGTCAAAAAGTTTGACTGGGCAGTTAAGTTTTGAAATGGTTTGTTTGACCTTCGTCTTCTTCTTCTTCTTGTATAAATGGTTTGTTTGACCTAATTCAAATCCTCTTTTATAAACGTACTGCTTTGACCTTTTACCATAGAAGAATATATATCCTTGCAAGAAAAGAAGCTCATTGCTCTGTAAGTAACAATCCTGCTGAAAAGAAGCTCATTGCTCTGTAAGTAACAATGCTGCTGACATTTGTTTTTGTTAACCTGATAGTTGCTTGACAGGGATTATTGTAGATACCACAAAAAAAAAAAAAGAACTTCGAATTTTGTTTATTAGATTTATATTCTTTCCCAGTATAAAAGATCATAAATATGTGTGTTTTCTATGTTTAGATTAGTCGAATTAATTTAGTGTACCATATCTCATTCTAAATATTTCCTAACTAAAGATTTTTACTTGTGAGAAAGGACATATATTTGTAAGGAAAATAGTGGGAGGGGGCTGCTAACTAAGAGTTTGATAATTAGCTAGGGTTTGAGAGCGGTTGAGGTTTTCGTATTGCTATTTACTAATAATTCATGAGCAATTTCAGTGTGAAATTTTAATTTATTCCCTCTATTTGTTTGCTCTAGTGTGTTTAAGCAGGTGATCAGTAAATCAAGATGCTAACACCTAAAATTGCTATGTGGATCATGGTGCTAACATTGGCTGCAATTCACATCTCGACGGTCTTGGGTGAGAGTAATTCCCCACTAATCCTCGAGCATATATGAGCAAGATTTCTAATCGTGTTAAGAAACAATCGAATCATGCACTTAAAGCCTCTGGATTTGTGACACATTTATCTGCAATTACATCATATCACCGTATTAATTTGCTTCCCGTTGACAATTTTCAGGTGGGGATGCTGGGATTATTTATGGAAGAAATGGAGATAATCTCCCATCCCCTAAACGAGTAATTGATTTTCTCACCGAGGACATGAACTATGCGATTTCATTAGTCCGGGTCTATGATGCCAATACGGAAGTTTTAGAAGCTCTAAGTGGAACCAACTTGGTCGTAACCATCGGGGTTCCAGATGAAGCAATTGCCCATGTAGCTTCTAGCCAGGAAGCAGCAGACAAATGGTTTCGAGACCACGTACTTACTTATGTTCACAAGGGTGTTCGGTTCCGATATATTTGTGTTGGCAATGAGGCAATTCCTGGTGTTGTTCAATCTTTTGTACCACAAGCAATTATTAATCTCTACAATTCAGTAAGGAAGGCAAGCGTAGATTATATCTACGTTACAACTGCAGTCGGGGGTGAAGTTCTGGAATGCTCCTATCCTCCCTCAGCTGGTCAATTCGCGAATAGAGTCGACAAAATTATGAATAACCTCACGAATTATTTGTATAATATAGGGTCTCCATTATTGATCAATTTGTACCCTTACCATGCCCTGGTCTCCGAGCCACAACATATTTCATTAGACTATGCCTTATTTCAGTCCCAAAAGCCAGTGTTTACAGATGGGGATTTAGAGTATTACAATCTTTTTGATGCTATGGTGGATGCATTTGTAGCAGCAATGGTAAGGGTGGTGCAAAAGGAGGATGTCAAACTTGTCGTTGCCGAGACCGGGTGGCCAACTGCAGGTATTGTGTCGTATGCTTGCACCGAGAATGCTCGAATCTACAACCTTAATCTAAGGAAGCATGCAGTTGAAAAGGGATGCACTCCGAGAAAGGCGGACATTAATTTGGAGGTTTACATCTCGGAGATGTTCAATGAGAATCTGCAACCGGACGAGTTTGAGAGAAATCTTGGAACTTTTTATCCCAACCTCACTGAGGTATATCAGTTGTGGCGCTGAGTTCTCAATTTTGAAAACGAAGCAACTTTGTATTGATATTGATTTGTATGAAATAAGAAAAGAACCATTTCTATTCCTTAAGCAATTGCATATTCAATTGCTGTTTTTTCCACACTTTTTAGGTATCAACTAAATGGTGAAAGCGTATATACTGTGGTCCACATAATTTTTTCAGTAAAATATTTAAGCATTGAAAATATATTTTTTAAAAATTAAAAAAGTTGAATAACTCGAGATAATCTCAACCAACTAAAAGTTATTAATAAAATAAAAGAAACAAAAATATTATTCAAGACTGTACAAATTAAAAATATTATAAAATATAAATATTTAATCAATATAAAATATATAAAAAAATTATAAATGAATTATTCTAACTTCATAAAAAATTAAACACATATAATATAATTAAAAAATACTTACTCTTTAAAAACGGCTAAAAAAAGAGAGAGAAGAGGTATTAATTAAAGCATAAATTTAAAATTTATTTTAAAAAAGACATATAAAAAGAGGTATTAATAAAAAATAAAAAAATAAAGAGAACAATAAAAAAACCAATACAATATCAACTTGAATTGAATGGTAAAATTAAAAATAAAAAAGTTATAAAAATAAAAATCAAATTCAAACACTCATACATGATAAAAAAATTGAATATGTAGAATTTTTTTACGTATATTTCTTCATAAATAAATCACAAACCATTATATAAGTAAATGAAAAAAATAGTCATTAATAATAAATAAAAATATAAATAAAAAATTAAAAAATAAATCTAAATTGAAATATTTAATATCACAATGCAGTAATTTACTTGATTGTATTAAATGAATTTGTTTATTAAAATCTATTTATAATAGAAATTAATATATATATATATATGTATAAAATTTATTGAATAAAATAAAAAGAAAAAAACACTATGCAAGAATGCATATACTAAAAATATTATAAAAAATAAATATTTAATATATGCAAATATATATATATATATATATATATAAGTTATAAATGAATCATACTAACATTCTAATATAATTAGAAAATAATTAATATTTAAAAATAGCTAAAAAAAATCATAGAGAAGATGTATTAAATAAAACATAAATCAAAAAAATTATTTTTAAAAAATAATTTTAATTATTTTTTTAAAAAAGATTAAACACCTGACCCATCAAGAAAACGTATATGCATTAGCCTTTATAATTCTCTTAATTCAATGGGAAAGACAACATGTTGTTCGCCTTTCTTTCTCAACTGACAATGTGTCATTTGAAACTTCTAGAATCAGATAATTAGTATGACTGAAATAGTAATTCTTTCTATAAATCGAAAGTGAGCGATTTCATCTTTTTATCCACTAAAAAAAAATAAAAAAATAACATTTGATACCAATTTTTTTGTTTTGAATATTATAAGAACCGATCACTTACTAGCTAAAAAAAATAGGTGAAGAAAACAAATTTTTTAAACAAGTTTCAAAAGTTATCTTCTATATTACCCATGTTTTTTTAATTTAATCATAGTTCTTTCAATTCAACCATTCCTTCCCAAAAAAGCATGCAATTGGGTTCAAATCTGGATTAAAATATCCCAATCACATAAAAAAAAATATAAGGATCAATTTTTTTGTTAAAATACATTATTACAATCTAAAAAGAATTGTGAAAGGATAAACAATAGAAATGCTACAATATTTTCCCTTTTTGTTAATTTAACCATTCCGGTACAAATGGGCTTTCATTTTTTCTAATTGGGCTCAAGTGACTTGCACTGCATTCTGTTCTCTAAAGCCTGCCAGCCCATTTTAGTGGTTAGTTCATATCACCCTGTGCAAAAAACAAGTGAGCAGGGTGGACAGAGGGACATACTGGCAGTTACATCCATTTTAGTCCGTACTAGAGATTACATTTATATCAGCAATCCTTTGGCTGTATATTTAGTAATAAATGTTTTTTTTTTGTGAGAAAAAAAATGTGGACGGTGGTGTGAAGCGCTATACATATAATTTATGAAGTTTGCCTCATCTCCTTGTAGTTCCAACGCACCATCCCACAGCAACTTTATATATGGTTGAAAAAACACCCCCACCCCACAAAAAAAGAAAACAAAAAAGAAAAGAGGTGATAAAAAGAAGTACAAGAAAACTATTTATACTGCCCAAATTCCAAATGGGATAGGACCAAGACAGTGACCATAATAATCCCAATTGATGATGATATCGTGCTAAATTCTTTTTGGACTGTCTTCTTTGTATATACAATATCATACGCTCAGAAACAAAATCCCTCATAAGGGTGCTAAAATCTCTGGCCTATCCTTCATACCTGCTACTGCTTCTGCGAACCCTAAGAAACAAAGGAAAGGGACACCTTGAAATCCCAGAAGGACAAATAATAAACTCCAAAACGCAACACTGCCCTGAACACCCTGCGTCCAATTTGTCCACATCCAACCTGATCTCAAGCTTAAAAACAAGAACAAAATGGGGAGAAGTGAAGAGAAATTAGAATCCAATTAGAAAGACTCCAAGGCTCTTTCTGACGTCACTTCTAAGTAAAGAGAACCCTTAAGACCTCAACGACAAAGATTACATGACAAACTCCATATCCCAAAACATATACATATGTACCAGCATAATATGCTTTGTCAAGTTAAGTTCAATTCCCAAGACACGCACTGTTACTTCTCTCTAAATCCACGCTATCTAACAAGAAGCATAAGCTCCGTCTTGAGTTTGACTTCTCAAAAAACAAAGCACGACACACATTCCTACCACCAACTCTGCCATCGTTGAAACCAATCACATAATTAAACAATACAAACTGACTAGCTAAACAAAGAAAGAATCCGTGATGAAAGTTTTCAAATTTATAATAACTAAACAAAGTCCAACCCAAAAAACAATTCCTGGATTCTCCACAAAACTTCACAAGCCAAGGGATATATATATATATATATATATATATATATATATAATTCCTGGATTCTCCACAAAACTTCACAAGCCAAGGGATACATACATATATATATATGGAGAGAGAGAGAGAGAGAGATTGAATTGAAGTTCAACAGAGATTTTTTTCAACGCTTGCATGGTTTTCTTGGCAGAGTATATATATTTATTTCTTTTTTCCAGCTTGCTAGGCTTCAACGTACAATGACATATAATTTCCAGTGCAATAATGTTCACCGTTTCGACCACGCTATCTCCTTCCCATGCTTAACCACCCAAACTCCCAAGACTTCATAATATATAGATATATAGAATTACTTTGCTAGGCCACAAAGCTCAAAATTAGACATGGTGCACAAGATTTGATACCCCGCCTCGGACGTAGTCTCTTCTTTTAACTCGGGTCAATCGATGCACCGTAATTAACTTGGACAAAAAATAATTAATCAAATTATTTGTGTTAGTGTCATTTGCCATTGACATTTTGACACATAATAGTTAAATGCAGAAGTAGTGGTGGTGGTAGGCCTATGTACTCTCCTTTCTTCTCCTTGCTTTTTTGCCTCTATTGCGACGTCTAAAACCGTTGAGATACTGACATGTGGCGCCGTTTGATGTGAGGTGAGACAATGGATATGAGTCCCCCGAGTGGAGGCCGCATCTTTGACCTATAAATCATCTCATCATACGGCCTCCTATAAAACTTCAAAAATGGAACGAACGATTCTCGAGACCTGTCTGCCTTGCTGACGTGGCACTCCTTCTTGAAAAATAAGGCAGGTGATTGGAGGAACGAGGGGCGTGGGGTCCGCGGCTGAGAGATTTTGAGGGTGTCACTCGTGGTGACACGCTGTGGCAACGGGGTTGATGGGAAGAGACTTTTATGGGCTAGCCTACTGTAGCTGCCACCGTTCATGCTGCCACGTGGGGTTCTGGCAACTGGCGATGCAAAAGAAAAGGATCTAGCGTTGAGGGGAGAGATGAGGGCCGGGCCCAGAGAAGAGAGGTTTGATGGTCCTACTTTTGATGCTGACGTGTCGGTCAAAGTTAGGTGCCAAGGCTTGAGGGAGTCAAAATGGTGGGACACGGTGAAGGAAAATCTAGAGGAAGAGCATGAGCCAATCTTAGCCGTTGACTTGACAGACGAAGGATCCAATCGGAGGGAGGAGGCTCGAGGGTAGGATGAAAAGTCATTGAACTCCAGTGATTCTTCAAAGTCTAGTGATGATACCACCATCGTGGCCGCTGATAGCTCAACAAATGGACGGACACCCTGCAACCATGACAGTATAGTCACGCTTCTGTGGAAATTTGAAGTAAGGTCACTCTTAGTCAAGACTAGGTGCACCTAATTGTAGTCTGTGTTTTCAAATTCACATAGAAATATCATTAGGGATAAATAAAGGTCACAATTCCTAATTAACTATATTATTCATTTCCAACTTACCCCATCTCAATGCTAAAATTAAAAATTAATGTTTTATTTAAATGCCAATAAGTTATAACATCATGTAGTTCGAATGTTCATATAATTATTTTTAAAAAGTTTCATACATACATACATATACAAACGTATACAAAGTGCAAGAATATAATGGCAACTACTTGTTTTATATTTAAAAATGTATTAAAATAATATATTTTTCTAAAAAAACTCATTCTTATCCTCTAAATTGATTTTTTATCTCTTCAGGGAGCAGTTACAAAAGTGAATTAAGGTCGCAGTTAACGGTACAAGAACAGGTGTGAAACCTAGCTGGTGTAATAAAAAGTCGAAGGAGATTTGACTTAAGCTTGGTGGCCCATGTAACAAGAAAGGCACAGGACAAGTTGGTCAAACAGTACAGCCAGATCCAGCAGGTTAAACAGTATGATACTCTCTTTTTCTTCTTATCATATAGTATTAAACTTGAAATAAGAAACAATGGGGTGAAGAACAGTATATATTTCGGCCAAAACGTGCACACACATAAAACACAACACACCACGATTTTTTGAATTTTTACCTTCCATAAGTAAGAGAACAGGGAAGGCGGGTCGATTACAAAAGCTTTGTAAAGCCTGCCTGGGTAGTACTCAGCCACAAGTTTCAGAGTTCCGAGCAATAAATTCATA